TCAGTATGTAGTGTCTCTACTTTAAAGAGTCCTCTCCTGCTGATGTTCAGGTGTATATCAGTATGTAGTGTCTCTACTTTAAAGAGTCCTCTCCTGCTGATGTCAGGTGTATATCAGTATGTAGTGTCTCTACTTTAAAGAGTCCTCTCCTGCTGATGTTCAGGTGTATATCAGTATGTAGTGTCTCTACTTTAAAGAGTCCTCTCCTGCTGATGTTCAGGTGTATATCAGTATGTAGTGTCTCTACTTTAAAGAGTCCTCTCCTGCTGATGTTCAGGTGTATATCAGTATGTAGTGTCTCTACTTTAAAGAGTCCTCTCCTGCTGATGTTCAGGTGTATATCAGTATGTAGTGTCTCTACTTTAAAGAGTCCTCTCCTGCTGATGTTCAGGTGTATATCAGTATGTAGATGTCTCTACTTTAAAGAGTCCTCTCCTGCTGATGTTCAGGTGTATATCAGTATGTAGTGTCTCTACTTTAAAGAGTCCTCTCCTGCTGATGTTCAGGTGTATTCAGTATGTAGTGTCTCTACTTTACAGAGTCCTCTCTGCTGATGTTCAGGTGTATATCAGTATGTAGTGTCTCTACTTTAAAGAGTCCTCTCCTGCTGATGTTCAGGTGTATATCAGTATGTAGTGTCTCTACTTTAAATGAGTCCCTCTCCTGTGATGCTTCAGGGTATATCAGTATGTAGTGTCTCTACTTAAAGAGTCCCTCTCCCTGCTTGATTGTTCAGGTGTATATCAGTATGTAGTTGTCTCTACTTTAAAGAGTACTCTCCTGCTGATGTTCAGGTGTATATCAGTATGTAGTGTCTCTACTTTAAAGAGTCCTCTCCTGCTGATGTTCAGGTGTATATCAGTATGTAGTGTCTCTACTTTAAAGATCCTCTCTGCTGATGTTCAGGTGTATATCAGTATGTAGTGTCTCTACTTTTAAAGAGTCCCTGCTGATGTTCAGGTGTATATCAGTATGTAGTGTCTCTACTTTAAAGAGTCCTCTCTCCTGCTGATGTTCAGGTGGTATATCAGTATGTAGTGTCTCTACTTTAAAGAGTCCTCTCCTGCTGATGTTCAGGTGTATATCAGTATGTAGTTGTCCTCTACTTTAAAGAGTCCTCTCCTGCTGATGCTCAGGTGTATATCAGTATGTAGTGTCTCTACTTTAAAGAGTCCTCTCCTGCTGATGCTCAGGTGTATATCAGTATGTAGTGTCTCTACTTTAAAGAGTCCTCTCCTGCTGATGTTCAGGTGTATATCAGTATGTAGTGTCTCTACTTTAAAGAAGTCCTCTCCTGCTGATGTTCAGTGTGTATTCAGTATGTAGTGTCTCTACTCTTAAGCGTCCTCTCCTGCTGATGTTCAGGTGGTATATCAGTATGTAGTGTCTCTACTTTAAAGAGTCCTCTCTCTGCTGATGTTCAGGTGTATATCAGTATGTAGTGTCTCTACTTTAAAGAGTCCTCTCCTGCTGATGTTCAGGTGTATATCAGTATGTAGTGTCTCTACTTTAAAGAGTCCTCTCCTGCTGATGTCAGGTGTATATCAGTATGTAGTGTCTCTACTTTAAAGAGTCCTCTCCTGCTGATGTTCAGGTGTATCAGTATGTAGTGTCTCTACTTTAAAGAGTCCTCTCCTGCTGATGTTCAGGTGTATATCAGTATGTAGTGTCTCTACTTTAAGAGTCCTCTCCTGCTGATGTTCAGGTGTATATCAGTATGTATGTCTCTACTTAAAGAGTCCTCAGATTGAATGAGCCTGAGTGTGAAAGGAATGCCTTCAACAATACACATAAGAGTGTGTAGCATCAACTATATACTGTTTGTTTTGCCCTTATCTTCGTCATGCATGACCGTCATGACATGTTTGTTTTCTAACATAAATCAGCACAGTTATTGAAGGGAACGGGAGGAACCGGTCAGACGGTCCTTGGCATTTCTATTTGTATCTTGGCAATGCAGTAATAAGTTATATCAAATGATAGAATTATGTTCTGTTCACGACGCAAGTTACAGAGTTTAAACTTGTTTTGGTTTCCTAATGAATACACTTTTACTATTTACTTGTGTACCTCAAGGCCTCTACATAAAGTCGTTTTGAGCTGTAACAAAAACAGTTGGGGTCTCAGCAGATACAAACTAAGATATTAAACTGAACACAGCAAAACTAGACTCACGTCATCTGAAAACTGAGTAGCAGCAACAGTTTACTCTTTGCTCTCATCTTTAGGTCAGTTTACTGGCTTTCACTGTCCTTATATCCCACTGCTTGTGTTCCACTTTGACCTTAGTTCCCTTCCAACATGAACCTGTAACTGTCTGAGGAGCACAGAGACAGAGTTAACCGTGGACCAGCTTTCAGAGTTCAATGACTACATTGACTCAGGGCCGTGAACTTTGTTGTACCAGAGGTATTTGTGGATGTCTTCATTGGAATTGATTGAAATACTGTTCTTTTATTTTATCGTTATTTCCCAAAGTCTAGTTTAGATAGTCTTTGTTTGTGTGCATGTACAAACATCAAAAGATTGTGGCTGAGGTAACATGATCTTGTTGGTTGACTTTAACCTTATTAGCCCCTTGCCCCTCTAAACCCTGAGTGCTAACACCAAAAGGACTTCCATTGAGCCTACGCTGTTCAAAGGTCTTCTAGCTGTACAAATGGACAGTTATATAACGTGGTAGATGTTTGTCTGGGAACAGTGTTTTCTGCTAATGACTCACGGAGAGAGGCTGGTTCTCTCTGATAAATAACTGAATAGATTTGAGTTTGGTACTGTTAGTGAGACAAAAACAAGACATTTAGGCAAGTCAACCTGGGCTTTTGGAAACTGTCATGGGCCTTTTTGACTATTTTACGGACTAACAATTATCAGGAATGGAATAAAGATAATCTTTGGTTGCAGCCCTAGTGGTTTTTTGCAATATCATTTTTGCTATTATCCCAGATGCCTACACCAAGTCCTACAGTATACAGCACTGATCCCTTACCAAGGGTATATGAAAGATTGTTAATTAGCTCAGAAATATTTCATGAACCTACTTGAAATAGTACGCTCAGCTAAAGGTAATTGGTAAACTATTGTAAAAGCTTAATTAAACAGATAATCAGTGAAGTATTCAACTAAAAGTGATTATTGGTTCACAAAAACTACCTAAACTAAAAAGATCAGATTCGTTTTAGCTAGGGTAACTTATAAATTGGCAACTGGGTGTACATATTAAACTAATGGATACATAATTGTCAAGTTTCTGCCACTCCAAGAAGTACTTGTAGAACATCATATATTGACCATATTGGCAAACGTATGAGTTGCAGCAATATCCACTTTGGTGTAATCATGAGTGTAAAAAACACCCAGTTTTAAATGAGTTTAGATCATATTTGCAACATGACAGGCGGTGTTGATAAGGGAGGAAGGGTAGTTTATCTGACAGGCTGTAGGGGGACACCTGCCAACAAGGTTAAGAACCTCAACTTCACAGAGCCCAGACCCTGGTTCTGATAAGATAAGAGTTCAGGTCAAGGTTACAAGGATACAAAAAAGTGTTTTTTTACAGTCAGGTGCTAGGCTTCCTAATGTCCCCCAGAGATAGGCTACTTGAAGGACCACCGCTGGATTCCGGCGTCGACACAGAATTTGACACGACACCTGAGATTACAAATACCTGAAGTTAGCGGTTAGCTAATCTTATAGCGAATATTGAGCATCAACTTAGACTGAATTACGTTTGAGGTTAACTATTTTAGCACCATGTGGGAAGTGGCAGGCTTTTATTGATGTTATAGCCCGTGGTTAAGTCGGCTTTAGTCGGTGTGACAGTTGACATAGCTCCACACTGATGACAGGCTAAGAGTTAGCTTAGCTGTCAGTTAGCTTAGCTGTTGTTGACACTATATGGAGGCTCCTGTTCTGGACTTTCAAATACTCACCCATGACTCTGACCAACACCTTCCCCATCGCCCCGGCCCATCCCGAACCTGGGTCGTAGTAAGAGTTAAAAATGGCGTCGATAATAAAGATACAGGGAACTCGCAGAGCCACATCAAGTACCGCTAAGGCCTGCTGGCCTAGCCGGACTTGAGTGGACGCCATGCAGGTTCAGTGTAGGGCGAACAGTCCTGAGGAGCTCCGGCTATCCATGTAACATTAAACTAAATGAAGGTCCTCCTGCAGCCGCTTCGGTTTCGCTTTCCCTGGCGTTTAGGCGTTTAGGCGATAGCTTGTAACCTGCTGACGTCCGCCATGTCCTCCCAGCTAAACCTCCTGTTGCTGCTTCTTCTTCTTCTGTTTAATGTGTGGCTGCTCCCATCAGGAGAGTTATGGCTCCAACAGTTACACTTCAGACTCCTGCCCCAATCCCGTCTCGTCAGTTATCGTTTAAAATATTAGGATCATTCTTGAATGACAATTTGGTTGCTTTGGGAACACCGCAGAAGTTGCCAGGCTGTTGGTTCCGACGTAACGTGACGTAACTTCCTGCGTCAGTGGGTGTGGCAGCTGACGTAGCTTTAAAAACAATCGTTTACATTTTGAAAATCTGTAATATCACATAAAAACAAAAAAAGACTTTGTCCTACACAAAGGAATGTTGCATTTGTTGTTTTAAAAACATGTTCAATTGAATCTGTTACAATGCTGTTATTTTAATTGTATTTATTTAATTATAAAACCCTTTATATTTCCCATTTTGTGCATAGTTCTTCTAATTACAGGAAAATGGAGGCTGACCTTGTACTCGTGGTGTACACGAAACATAAAAAAAATAACCAATTGTAAATGCATTCAGGGAAAACACTTTTTTATTTTAGAATAAGACCAGAAACTATTTGACAATTCAAAATTGGCAAAGGGAGAGTTTATCAACCATTGTCACACACACACACACACACCACACACACACACACACACACCACACACACACACACACACACACCACACACACACACACACACACACACACACACACACAACACACACACACACACACACACACACACACACACACCCCACACACACACACACACACACACACACACACACACACATCACACACAACCACACACGCGCACACACACACACACACACAGTAGTCCGTCTCCTGAATGTGTCTCCTGCTCCATCCTCAGCTGGAGCTGAAGAACACTCTGATGGTGTTGTTGTAGATGGTGTTGGACAGCTCCAAAGGGTCCTCCTCCCTCGCTGCTGCCATCACCTCCAGCACTTGTCTGAAAAATACAAATAGTGAAACCTCATCAATTTACAGTTATTGCTTAAGTGATTTAAAAGCGTTGATCTCTGCTCGCTTGCAAATTGGTCAATTTATTTGTATTGGAATTGTCCCTCTTTCTTCACCACAACATTACTCACATGATGTGACAGGGCTCATTCCTGTCCTTCAGACAGTGTCCTGCCTCCCATTTCTTCTTTGTGGGAAATGTAGTTTTTACGTGTTTGGAGCCTGCATGAGTGTTCTTTACGCCGCACCATGGAGCATCTGGGAGCAGGACGGTGTCAAAGCATAAATAAATGGAATAGTTTGCTTAGCAACCTTACAACAGCAATGTGATACACTACATATCTAGAATGTTAGTTTATTTTCTATAATGCTGCAGTAAAAACACAGCATGGTGGATGTTTAAAACTGATATAAATGATGATTGCAAAACAACAATAATACTTGGTTCTATTTCACTTTGAGAATGTAACAGTAACATGTGGCTTTATGCTACTGTATTTAGCTTTATTTGAAGATTCAAGAATATGATTCAAATACCTTCTTTGACACAATAAACCCGCGCTTTATCTCACCTGTTTCTATCATGAGTCTCTCAGTGGGGATAGACTTCATGGCTTCAATATTGGCCCTCTGTTTTCAAGGAACTGAAAATAAAATAAAACAGATTTCAAGTTGCACTATTGTGTAATAAATAATAAAATGGTGTTTGATTGTTTTAAAACAGAGGTTTTGCTGTGTAATCCACAAAGCTGAAAAGTGTTTTATCTTCAGTATTTCATATATTCAATATCAGGACTCTGTATTGTCCATGTTATTGATGAGAGTTTAAACTTTACATGAACAAACGTTTAACAAAAAACTCTCAAAAATGCATATTGTAGGAGTTATGCTTCCACATTAAAACATCTCCCTTCACTAAAGATTGAATTACATATTTCTCCTCCATAACATGTAAGCAGCTGCAGATTTCCCAGCTTTAAGGCAATAGTCTGCTTTGTAGGCACTCATCAGATATTGGGTGTATTAGATCTGTGTAGCTGAGCCCAGATGAGGTTAGGGTTGTCTGATTCAGCAGAAAACAAACTCCTCTCACCATCCATTTATTCCAATGTAGAGGTCCAGGTCGATGAGGGCAGCAGCGTCCTCTGCTGTCCCGTCAAATGAGTGGACCTGAGAGGAGAGATTACAGGTAGCTGGACCATCATATTCCAATTGACAACTTAATCATTTCATTTTGATGACTGCATTTGTATTTATCATGATTATTGCATTTGTTTTAACATTTTAAAGCAACTGGTTTATGATAATTAGTATCATCATAGCGCATTCTAAAATAGTAACACGGTTTTACAGGAGTATACATTTTACTGTAATTTAAAATGTGTGGATTAAATTAATCTCTTCCTGTAAACTCTAACTTTTCTAGTATCCCACAATGCAATGCACAATGGACACTGAAGAGTGATACAAAGCTAATCAAAACAATTTCAAGACAGCCTCCACCACATCTTGAAGTAAAACGTACATATAAAATGTAATTTTTGATGTTTATAAATCTATTAGTGCAATACTTTCTTGTGTACTTTAGCTAAACAGCTAACTGTAGAGAACAGTGTGGCGTATATACTAGAGTAATAAACAAGTATAAAACAAATGATCTGGGCCGCCGGATAGCTCAGCAGTTCGAGCTGGCGGCTCATATGCAGTCACCGCTGCCTAGTAAGCTGGTTCAAAACCCGAGCAGGCTGAGACTTGCCAGTAACGTCCTCCCCTGTCTCCCCATTTCACCCCTGAGATGTCCAATAAAGACCCTCTTGCCCAAAAAGATAGCTTAATAAAAATAAAGAACAGTGTCCTCACCACTCCTCCAACACATCTGTCCCGATTCTTCTTCATGATTTCTGTCAAGCAAAGACAAATGGACGGTAAGGTGATTGTGTAAAGAGTCCCTCTCATGCAGCAGACCTCCTGGAGCAGAAACCCACCGATGAACTCCTGGTGGGAGTTTCTGCAGTGCAGGAACATGGGCAGCCTGCTCTCCTCTGCCAGCTCAAACTGCTTCTCAAAGTATCTGTTACACACCAAGAACAGAGGGCTTTCTTTCAGGGCTGTACTTATTGTTATCATTGTGGAGTATGGACAGTAACAATGCTTTATTTATTTCCAATTAGTGCTAAAACAGTTGAAATATCAAGGAGTATATCAACAAAAGATGAATAGACAAATGTTGATGAGTGATTCATAATGTATCAAACTAAAAGGCCAACTCGTGGAGTTCCCAGCTTCCTTGATGTGAGGATTTGCTGCTTTTGAGTTGTATATCCAATTGCTTCACCTTTACATGTGTTTTTCTCTGCTGGTCGGACACAACAACACATGTTAAGATGTCTCTGTGGTCTGGGAATTTGCAGTGGACATGTTCCTTATACTTTTTTGACAAACAATTAAGAAACAAATAATGAATAGACAAGATGTTGAGGAAAATAATCATTAAGTGCATTTCTAACATTAAGTTTAACAAGCCTTTCTGTCCATGCTTGGAAGGCATCAGAACATCTGCAATTGTAGGATGCACTGGATATATTTGAAACCTCCAAAAAGCATTTGAATTCATTTGAAAATGTTAGTTTAATTTAAAATTGTTAGAAGGAGAAATCTTAATTTCCAAGTTTCTGATTAAACTTCTCAGTGACAAAACCCAAAACTATTGATGAGGCATCACAACTGCCAGAAAGTACACTTTAAAGGCCTAAACAGCACATGCAAACACTGAAAGTTAATATGCAAATAAAACAAATAACCTTACTTTAGTTGAGTCTCTTTTGGGCAAAACTCCAACCTGTCAAATCTGGAAAAACGGAAAAAAGACAATCGGCATCAACATATAACTAAACAAAATAAATACTTTTTGATACGACCCACACATCTTACTCCCACACTTGGGACTCTAAGGCATAATATGTAAAGTGTTGCCAAAAGTGGTTTCTTAATCAAAACAATGGAAAGACAGAATCTGGTGGCATTGGAAGTAACATGGGATCGTCATAGTTTGTCCTTTCCGTCAGCATCCTCCTTTTAGAAATCCTTCACTATTCATCATTCAGGAAGTGTTTACCAGGAGTTGTTCTCAGAGTCAAGAAAACTGGTTAAAACACTGAATCAATTAATTTCACGGATGCAGTTTGGCAGAACACAGACGTATTGAAGAGGCTGCTAGCCCAGTTGCTCACATCGTTTTTGCTCATTTTGGTCAAGTTCAAATGTAAAAGTGTGGCTTATAACTGGATAAAAAGTACATTAATTACAGCTTCTGGCAGACAGCCACGTCACGACCAGATAGAATGGACTAACTAACAAATGTATCTGGGTTGTGGATATTGGATAAGATATATGTCGTGTTTAGATGCATTCATTTTACATATTATACCTTTAATAATGAATTATTAAATATAAAATATGTATTCCAATAACATGTTGACACTCACAGTAGTATAGAAAAGCAAGGAGCCATAAGTAACTCATTTATTGAGGATAGAAATGTGAATCATTTCATCACTGTGTTGCATCTTATTGTGTTATATTACAAACGCAGCACTGTCAGCAGCTCACACCTAGTCCACACTCTCCGATGGCCACCACCTTCCCTCTGTGTGAGGCCAGCTCCCTCAGCCCTGAGAAGTATTCCAACTCTCCGTTCTGCTCAAACTCAGAGCAGCGGGTGGGATGGCAGCCCACCGTGCAGCAGAACTCATCTGTAATAACAATGACAAAGGAAAAATACAAAGAGATATAGGAGAAGAGACCGATTTTGCTCATTCATCATTGTTATCATCACCTCTGGTCTCCGCTAGTTTCAGGGCCTCCTTGCTGTCTTCAAGGTTTCCTCCTGTGATCATAAACTGTAACAAAGCACCAGGTTTTACAGAAATGATGAGACAAAAATATAATTTTAAAATGGCTTGTCCGTGTACCACAACAATTATTCAAATGTAGTGCAGGCATTCAAGGTTTGGTGAAATATTATATGACAATCGATTTAATATTTGTCAAAAATATTTTAGTTTTGACTAAAGAGGTGGACAGAGAAGACGACCAGCATTCTAATCCCTGAAGAAAGGCTGCTTGTGCTGCAACAACTGTAACAGTTATGTTAAAGTGTTGATGACATGGCTTACCTTTTTGACTCCGGTTGTGACCGCTCTGTCAATGATCTGATTGAAGTCATCTGTCAAAAAAATCACAACATGTCTCAGATGTTCTGCTCTCAACAGCACACAGGTGAAAAGTGAAGGAGTTGCTCACCGTCATGTTTCTGCTTCCCTCTGTAGAGTCCTCTGAACATGGGATCTGTCAGGTTCACACCAATATCTGGAGAGGGAAGGTTCTTAATGTCAATTTTGTTGTTATCATTTCTTCATTGTCATTGGTAGTGTACGTAGTGAAATTACACAATGAGAGACACGGTTAAGCGGTTGAATCTAACAGAGGTAAAATCTAAATGTTCCACATCAACCTTCATGACACTATCTGGATTCAATATTTAAGATTCAAATACCTTATTGTCATAGGCACATTAGCTACCGAATAGTTGTGGGCAATGCAAATCTTAAATCCCAGCCTCCAACATTGAAACATACAATAAACTTGAGAATTAAAGGGGAAAGGATGTAAAAGAGTGACATAAAAAGGTGTAAATGACATAATGGTGCATTCTTTACTTTAATCCCAACGTAATAATAGCTGATAAAGGTAATAGCATTAGTAATGCAGTATAAACTGTCACCAGGAGTTAAAACAATCCATCAGAAGTTTCCACACACAGCTGCAAACTTTGAGTGCTGTGTTGTCATTTTCAGCAGGGCTAACTCAAACTAGCATCATGCTAACTATCACATGCAGGCTTGTCTTCTTACACAATTCACTTACACACACTGACACTCAGTTATTGACCTTCTCACTGTTGTATTAACATTTTCATTAAACACAAGTGTCTCACCAATGAATTTGTGCTGAGCCATGGTTGTAAGAGCTCTCCTCCTGAAAAGAAGCACACATGCAGCTCTCAGCAGCAATCCCATGCTACATACCGTAATAACTGTAACAGGGGTTACATTTCTGAAATAGTAAGAATTATGTAACATTCTTGATACCAGTGATACAATCTAATTTAATTGATTTTCTTAAGTACTACTGTACATACAAGGTATTCCACTTTTTTTGATTTTATGCTACATTATCTTTGTATTTCTACAACAGGAAATGTTGCAGTTTGCACTCCATTACATTAGGTGCCAATATTAGTTAATTTACGGAAAAGGGATAGGCTTATAAAATAAAATAAACATGATTTTGAGAGAAGGACTTTAACTCGAAGCGGAGCATTTCCACACTGGTATTAGTTGTATGTATTCCAGAGTAAGAAAGTGTCAAGATAAGAAGAACTGTTGCGCATTTCCCACGAGTTTACGGTCATACAGTCCACAGAAGAAATCCCACAATCCCTCGCGCCGCTTGCTGGGAAGGTGACAGGGGACGGTAAACATGGCCTCTGCCTTTCTTACTCACCACCAAAAGGTGTTGCGGCTTTACAAGAAATCACTAAGACACCTTGAGTCGTGGAGCGACAACAGGTAAGAGGAACTGTCTTCGTTGAAGCTCTGTGGGGAAAAATGCAACAAACAGGACGCCGGGAGTCTGTTTGCTGTGCTGCTAAGCTAACAGCTAAGCTAACTGCTAGTCAGGTCACTCATTCCTGGCCGTCCTCCTGCAAAATATATTCACCCTTCACCAACTAACCCACTCTGCATCAAAACAAGAATATATCCCTGACATTTGACTGTTTATTAAAACCATGAAATAGATCAAAGAGCAGTTGTTAATCTGTACTTTGAAAAGGGTCGAGCTAGCAAAGGAAATATAATAGCAAAATGTAAGCTTGACTCTCAAACACATATAAATAGCTGTAACTACAAATCATAATACACAGGCCTAATATCAATACAAATATATTATAAGTTAGGAATTTTGACAGTTCTAAATACATGACTCTACTGTATCTTATCATTTTAAAGTAATTAATTAAGCAACCTTATTATAGTAGTAGCACATCTTTTGATAATTACAAATGTTCTCTTGTTGATAAATGTTATGTTATTTTATCATACTGCATTATATAAAGTAGGGATGCTCCGATCGAGATCGGCCGATACTCACTCTCTACCGATCGATTGGTGCTCTCTAAACATGCCGATCGCGAGAGCCGATCGCATGACGTAAAATACATGACACTTTTCTCTGTGAGCGGCAAAACATGCTCGCCAAAATGGCTTCACCGGTCTGGCATTATTTTAAGGTGTCCGAAAAAGACAGTAAAATAGCGGTATGCAACGTGTGTGAAGCAGAAATCCTGCAGCTCCGCCCGCCGGACCGGTAAGCGCAGCGAAACACACACACAGGGAGAAACGACGCTGAAGTTGGCTTCCGATTCAGAGCATCCGATTCGGCAGTTACGGCCCGTCCACACAGCGGCGTGCGTTGACGCTTGCCGGCGGGCGTGTCTGAAACTCGACCAACAACCAATCACATGAATCTCCCGCCCCTGACACACAAGCAGCGGTTTGATTGGCTAGAGCTTGTACTGGCATATGATTCGATTGGCTGACGCTTCTGCCGAGGCGTCAAAAGTTGAACATTGCTCAACTTTTGCAGCGAGCCACGCCAGCAACGCTCCGCGTCGCTTCCCACGATGCAGTTCGGTGCAAAGTGATGTCACCCCATTCAAAGTGAATGGTGAAGCGTCAACGCACGCCGCTGTGTGGACGGGCCGTTAAGGGGAAAGTTACGGCCCGTCTACACTACAGGCGTCAAAAAATGCTTTCAACGCTTCGCCCATTAATTTGAATGGGGTGACGTAGGATATTTTCAAACTTCGCCGAACTGCATTGTGGGTAGCATGGCAAGGCATTGCAAGCATCGCGAGCGTCTATCGGCGTCAAAAGTTGAACAATGTTCAACTTTTGAGGCTCGATGCTTGCTCGAAGCTGGCGTCAGCCAATCAAATCCCGTTTTTGCAATTCCCGCCAGTACAAGCGCTAGCCAATCAAACCGCGTGCAAGCTGGGAGAGCCAGACCGCAGTTCATTTCCTCATATTCCAAACGAGAAATTACGGTAGCAAATCACCCGGTTCTTTCCGACCAGAACTATTTACCGGGATACAAACCGGAGGAACCAGGCATGGAGGGAGGTGGCAGAGACAGTGGGTGAAACTGGTAGGTTTTCGCCTGTTTGGGGATTTTATATCCAGTTTACTTCGTTTTAACATTGCTATTGCTTTGTATGTCGGGGGCGGGAGATTCATGTGATTGGTTGTTGGTCGCGTTGCTCGCAAAAAATCGCCAAGCTTCAGACACGCCCAGCTTCAAGCTTTTTCGATGCCTGTAGTGTAGACGGGCCGTAAACATTTAATTTACAGCGCTGAGCGAACAATCCTCCGTGTTTGAACCTCTTAAATCGCTGCATAGCCGATTTATTTGGACTGGATTATCCCAGAAAGTCTAAAGATTCTTTATAACCCAGTTTGAGATTTGTGAAACCTTTATTCTATTTGTGAAAATACAAAAAGTGAGATTTCAGTGCTTTTTTTAAATCTAGACCACATTAGACCAGGTCCTGATCTAAAACCACTAGACCTACACTCATCAAATATGGACTGGATTATCCCAGAGGGTCTAAAGATTCTTTATAACACAGTTTCAGATTTGTGAAATCTTTATTCTATTTGTGAAAATACAAACACAGGTGGAAGGCTGAGGTTGCTGCAGCAGGCCAGGATCAGAAAGTGAACCTGCCAGCTGGGCAAGCCTTTATGCCATCTTGAGGCTCCGCCTCTAGATGGGCGGGCACAAACAGGACAACACTCCCAGTACCTGCCAGAGGACAGCAAGGCAGGGAGCACTGACAGGCAGAAGGGGGGAGGGGTCGTCACAACATGTTCTTTTGTTTTGTTTTATTGTTCTGTCTTTTTATTTATTTAAGTATTCCAGTAATGTATGTTGCATGTTTTAATTTGATTGTATTTACTTGTTTAAATGAAATTTGTTTTAGGTTCACTTATCAAATCTGTCCAGGGACAACATATGAAAAATAGCCTCTTGGCTAACTCTGGCACATTTACAGGAATGTTAATTAATGTGCACTGTCCCTGTTAAACAAATAAATAAAAATAAGTATATGCTCCTCATTTAGGTGATAATTCTTTATCTACAAAGTTTTCGTATCTTAAATACTGTTTCATACCAAACAAAAAAATGAAAATGATGTTAAAGGAATTCAGGTTCATGAGATAAAGAAAAAGGCTAACCTTCAGTCTTTCATCCACTTTGAACAGCTTCTGCTGCTTTGTTTGTAGCCTTTATTTAACCAGGTGAAGCCCCTTGAGATCAAAAGATCTCTTTTTCAAGGGTGACCTGCTTTGTCCTAAAGCAAAATATGAATAGCAATTATTTTTACCAAAGTGTTATTTTCTAATCTTATAATGTTTTTCACATTCCAAGCAATCCTAGTACTCAAGATGACATACTGTAATTAGGCAAAGCTTGTTGCTTAAAGTAAACTTGACCAATGCTAGTTATAGACTATATTTAATTTCCTGTTGAAATGTTTTGCCTGCAACTGTAGATAAATTAAGTTTATATAAGTATACCTACTTATCTGTTGAATTTTTATTTGCAACACAAAATTATAATACATTTGAGAAGTAAAGACTTTATTCTTCCTTAATTAGCTGTCCATACTTACCCGATTAGATGAGTGTAGGTCTAGTGGTTTCAGATCAGGACCTGGTCTAATGTGGTCTACATGTAAAAAAAAGCACTGAAATCTCCCTTGTTTGTATTTTCACAAATAGAATAAAGGTTTCACAAATCTCAAACTGGGTTATTTAGACTTTCTGGGATAATCCAGTCCAAATAAATCGGTTATACAGCGATTTAAGAGGTTCAAACACGGAGAATTGTTCGCTCAGCGCTGTAAATTAAATGTCCCTTAACTTTCCCCTTAACTGCCGAATCGGATGCTCTGAATCGGAAGCCAACTTCAGCGTCGTCAGGGAGAACCAGACCGCAGTTCATTTTCTCATATTCCAAACGAGAAATTACGGTAGCAAATCACCCGGTTCTTTACGACCAGAACCATTAACGGGATACAAACCGGAGGAACCAGGCATGGAGGGAGGTGGCAGAGACAGTGGGTGAAACTGGTAGGTTTTCGCCTGTTTGTTTGTGTATATATATATATATATATATATATATATATATATATATATATATATATATATTGCTCGCATAAAATCCCCGGGGGTTTTTGCTTTGTATGTCGGGGGCGGGAGATTCATGTGATTGGTTGTTGGTCGCGTTGCTCGCAAAAAATCCCCAAGCTTTCAGACACGCCCAGCTCCAAGATTTTCAAGATTTTTTAAAAGCTGTAACGGCCCGTCTACACTACAGGCATAAAAAAATCTTGAAGCTGGGCGTGTCTGAGGCTTGGCGATTTCTCGCGACCAACAACCAATCACATGAATCTCCCGCCCCCGACATACAAAGCAATAGCAATGTTAAAACGAAGTAAACTGGATATAAAATCCCCAAACAGACGAAAACCTACCAATTTCCCCCACTGTCTCTGCCACCTCCCTCCATGCCTGGCTCCTCCGGTTTGTATCCCGGCAAATAGTTCTGGTCGTAAAGAACCGGGTGATTTGCTACCGTAATTTCTCGTTTGGAATATGAGGAAATGAACTGCGGTCTGGCTCTCGCAGCTTGCACGCGGTTTGATTGGCTAGCGCTTGTACTGGCGGGATTTGCATAAACGGGATTTGATTGGCTGATGCCAGCTTCGAAAGCATCGGGAGCATCAAAAGTTGAACATTGCTCAACTTTTGATGCTCACGATGCTTGCAAAGCCATGCTCCGCTCCCCACAATGCAGTTCGGCGAAGATTCAAAATCTTCTACGTCACCCCATTCAAATGAATGGGCGAAGCGTTGAAAGCATTTTTCGATGCCTGTAGTGTAGACGGGGCGTAAGAGTTAGACCTAACACACTTAGCTATTTTATCTACCTCTGGAACAAGCTAAACTAGTTATTATAAATATGTATTCTTCATTGTCGGGTCACTCTTACTGGATCAGTGAGCTGCATGAGATACTGAC